AATTTTTTTTTACTAAATCCTGATAAGACAGAAATATTACTTATTGGTCCAAAAACCAGTACACAAAAGCTCTCACAATTCAACTTGCATTTAGAAGGATGTACTATTACTACTAGCTCGACAGTGAAAGACCTGGGTGTAATATTAGACAGCAGCTTGTCTTTTGAAAATCATATTTCCAATATTACTAAAACAGCCTTCTTCCACCTTAGAAACATTGCCAAGCTTAGGAACATTTTATCTGTATCTAATGCAGAAAAGCTAGTTCATGCATTCATGACCTTCAGACTGGACTATTGTAATGCATTGCTAGGTGGTTGTCCTGCATCTTCAATAAACAAGCTACAGTTAGTCCAGAATGCAGCCGCCAGAGTTCTTACTAGGTCAAGAAAAGATGATCACATAACCCCAATACTATCATCCCTGAACTGTATAATATAATATAATATTCTGGATCATCTTGAGTGTTTTTACCCCTGGGAGCATATGAGGGTGAAGCAAATATACATGTAAGCATATGTCTCATCTGTAGATATCTCCAGAACTGATCATTAGACAAGATGAATTTTTGCTTAAGTCTCTCAAACGATATTAATGCATCATCTTCATAAAGATATTCCAGAATATTTATATTTTTATCTATCCACTCCTTCCATAATACAGGTGTTCCACCTATTAACAACTTTGTATTGGCCCAAATAGCAGATGAAGGGCTTAAAAAAGGGTCAACCCCTAGAATACGAGAGGTCTTCCTCCAAACTGCTTCGAGACGTGAAATAATTGGATGTTTACGCACTGGTAGTGGTAGTTTTGTTATCAATATGGACTCAAATGGTATAAGTGGACAAGCAGATTTTTCCATGACTAGCCATCGGGGGGGCTCGCTCTGGAGGTAACATCCACTGTCCCAGGTGCCTCAAACCAAATGTATAATGGTACAGAGATAACTTGGGAAGACCTAAACCTCTCCTCTCAACTGGAAGCTGTAATTTCTCTAGCCGCATTCAAGGTTTCTTCCCATTCCACAAAAACTGTTCCTGTCACATATCCTGTCAAATATACTGAAATATTCTGAATCGACAGAGACAGGCAGGGAACTTAAAACAATTAATTTTAGGAATGAAGTTCATTTTTAATACATTAACTTTGCCCCAAAGGGAAAGAAAAATGGGTGCCCATCTTGCTGTGTCGGCTGAAATCTTTTCCAATAGGGGGTCAAGATTTGCTTTAAAAATATCCTTAAACCGATGGAGAAAGGTAATTCCTAAATTATACAATGCCTTCATCAGGCCATTTAAAGGAACAGGTCTGAAACAATGACTTTGGAGAGTAAGCAGTCAGGGGTAGGAGCCTCT